TGAGAAAATGCTGGTTGGTTGTAATTTCCCATTCACTTGCTGATGTACAATCTAGTATAAATCCGAGTTGTATGGTTCTCAGAAACATGGAGACTATATTCAATTCCAGGTGGCATCACTTCTGCATTGCTGTTCAAGTTTGCAATGGATGCCGATGGATAAAGCAGCTGAATTAAAATGCAAAATGTAAAATGCCAGTCAGTCACATTTTCTAGCAATCGACAAGCATTATTTGCTACCCGTAAAACCTTAGGGTGAGAACTGAGAATATGAACCGCAACATTGATGTAACAAAACCAAACAAAATCCCCTTGATCTCTAACCACTATCACTGTCTGTTTATTATTCAAGAGATGCATATTCTGGCACAGCAGAGTTGGCACTCATCTGACTGTCTTGCTCTAATACACAGAATGGTAGTCTATAAAACTTTGGGCCTGGGGATGCTGCATTTTACAAGGCAATCTCGCCAATCAACGCTGATATCAATTATTCTAATCAGCATCTGATTCACATACCAAAAGTGATTTGTGCTGTGATTCAGCTTTGCTTGCTGTTCGTGTTCCAATTCATCTAGTGATGGAAAATCCTGCCTCATGCCTGCTTACACCTTTCTGCTGTTGAATCTAATGGCCAGCATAGTTGAATGGCATCAATCATTTGACTGTCCAGCTGCTGTTCTTGTCAGTGGATAAGATGTCAGGAATGTCTAATATTTCATGATGCCGAATCAATTCTGGCACAACTCACATTTGTCTATGGCCGTCTTTATCTTGCTATGTTTTCATACACAATCTGTATTTGAACAGCTGCAAGCATTCCTGAAACCTGATCTCAACTGGCTTGTGGATCATTCTGAACTATCTTTCTTGATGTGTTTGTGACCACAATTGGAGGTTGTCTTGGTTTCCAAACTGCTCTATAGCTCATTCACAATGTTCATCTCCGTGGAAATCCAGTATGGTCTCAATGTTGGGCCATGCTATGGACTTGCACTTTCAAATGCACACTGATCTGAACTAGCCTTGTCGCTCAATGTCATCAACCTCATTATGTTTTAACTGCTTCGCACTTGATGATTGCTTATGTTCTGGTCTATTCCGCACTTTGGTCAAATCATTATCACTGGATGTGTTTTTGCCTTGTGATATTTTGTTTAACTGTCCCTGCTTTGTTATACTGCAATATGTCTTTGGAGTGATCCATTCTGGTATTGATGAGAAATAACTGTTTGTTATACTGCAGGTGAATGTGAGGAGGTGAAATGTCAACTGATCGTCGGGAAAGGCGACACATAGAAATATTTGTTTATAAGATAGCCTCTAACAATATGGTGAGTTAGTTTTATCTACAAAAACTGGAAATTGACTCTGACTCACGCCTTTGTTCATTCCTTTGCATTGTTACAGGGGATGATATTGGTCATGATTTTGCAGTGCTGCAAATCCCAACTCAGACGGCCAAAATATGCTTTGCAATGGTGCAAATATAATGCAATCAAATGGTGTAGTCATTCATCTATTTTGGTCTTGATTTTCTTAAGCATGAGCTGATGTGGTCGCGGGCGAGTGACCAGCACCCTCAATCATCCATGGCTAGAGGCACTGATTCTCGTCTGTGGACATCATGCAGATAAGTCACCCCCAGTGCAACGTAGAGAGCATTGCTTTGTCAATTGAAGAATGCACAGGGGTAATTGAAAAAAGGCAATGGGACAAGTGCAGAAACCTTGCTGGCGTTATGAGTGACATTCATGATACCCTTGCAGGATCTTAGGTGAGCATAGTATTCCTGTTAACAGATGCTTTGTTGCAGCCTTTGAACCCAGCCTTCAATGACAGCACCAGTGCAGAATGATCCAACTTCACAATAATGAATCTTCGCTCACCAACCACATTGACAAAGTTCACGCCATTGTTGCTGCACCTGCTGCCAACTTTGTAAACAAGCCGCTGCTCTCTGCTGGCAGCAACAACACCAGCATGGCCAAAATCATAGTTTCCCCTTCATTAATGCTGTACTTTACACTCCCCCATGGGTCCTCCTGGACTCTGTGTAAGTCCTCTTGGACTCCTCATGGACTCCTTGTCAACTCTGGGTGGACTCCTTGTGGACTCCTGATAAAACTATTATTCTAAGGCTATCTAAACTTATCAATTACTTATTGAAACATTTAAATACCATATATTCCAGACTCTTTACATAATTACAAACCAATATCCTACAAGTACATATAAATCACACAAGTTTCAAAAAATTACTATCTTTGGTTAAGCTGTTCACAAAATTGTAATTACCATTAAATCCATATACAAAATAGCTCCAAACAATATATACATAGATGTATATTTGAGACATTACTGTTATATTCTGGAAATCTGGACTGCAATTATATTATATTCTGGAACTCCAAGCCGGGATTATGACTCAACTATGGTTATGGACCAACATTATGCCTACGGTTTTACATTATGCTTACATACTCTCACACCCATATGATTAATTACAGCACAGTTCATTTCCGAACTCCGGATATTAACTCCCTGACCGGTTATTATTTACTGCTGATATGCCGGCGATGTCTATATGGTCTGGGACCAACACAAACACCACAACAAGATCTAATAAATGCGAGTTGGCGAGTAACCCTTCCAAGAGTGATAAGATAAGTAGTGTAATGCAGTCGTGATGTCTCGATGTAGATCGCGATG